GTCTATAGTCTAGTCTATAGTCTAGTCTATAGTCTAGTCTATAGTTTAGTCTATAGTCTAGTCTATAGTCTAGTCTATAGTCTAGTCTATAGTCTAGTCTATAGTCTAGTCTATAGTCTAGTCTCTAGTCTAGTCTATAGTCTAGTCTATAGTCTAGTCTATAGTCTAGTCTATAGTCTAGTCTATAGTCTAGTCTATAGTCTAGTCTATAGTCTAGTCTATAGTCTAGTCTATAGTCTAGTCTATAGTCTAGTCTATAGTCTAGTCTATAGTCTAGTCTATAGTCTAGTCTATAGTCTAGTCTATAGTCTAGTCTATAGTCTAGTCTATAGTCTAGTCTATAGTCTAGTCTATAGTCTAGTCTATAGTCTAGTCTATAGTCTAGTCTATAGTCTAGTCTATAGTCTAGTCTATAGTCTAGTCTATAGTCTAGTCTATAGTCTAGTCTATAGTCTAGTCTATAGTCTAGTCTATAGTCTAGTCTATAGTCTAGTCTATAGTCTAGTCTATAGTCTAGTCTTAGTCTAGTCTATAGTCTACTCTATAGTCTAGTCTATAGTCTAGTCTATAGTCTAGTCTATAGTCTAGTCTATAGTCTAGTCTATAGTCTAGTCTATAGTCTAGTCTATAGTCTAGTCTATAGTCTAGTCTATAGTCTAGTCTAGTCTATAGTCTAGTCTATAGTCTAGTCTATAGTCTAGTCTATAGTCTAGTCTATAGTCTAGTCTATAGTCTAGTCTATAGTCTAGTCTATAGTCTAGTCTATAGTCTAGTCTATAGTCTAGTCTATAGTCTAGTCTATAGTCTAGTCTATAGTCTAGTCTATAGTCTAGTCTATAGTCTAGTCTATAGTCTAGTCTATAGTCTAGTCTATAGTCTAGTCTATAGTCTAGTCTATAGTCTAGTCTATAGTCTAGTCTAGTCTAGTCTATAGTCTAGTCTATAGTCTAGTCTATAGTCTAGTCTATAGTCTAGTCTATAGTCTAGTCTATAGTCTAGTCTATAGTCTAGTCTATAGTCTAGTCTATAGTCTAGTCTATAGTCTAGTCTATAGTCTAGTCTATAGTCTAGTCTATAGTCTAGTCTATAGTCTAGTCTAGTCTAGTATAGTCTAGTCTATAGTCTAGTCCCTCTGTCTATAGTCTAGTCTATAGTCTAGTCTATAGTCTAGTCTATAGTCTAGTCTAGTTAGCTATAGTCTAGTCTATAGTCTAGTCTATAGTCTAGTCTATAGTCTAGTCTATAGTCTAGTCTATAGTCTAGTCTATAGTCTAGTCTATAGTCTAGTCTATAGTCTAGTCTATAGTCTAGTCTATAGTCTAGTCTATAGTCTAGTCTATAGTCTAGTCTATAGTAGTCTCTAGTCTTAGTCTATAGTCTAGTCTATAGTCTAGTCTATAGTCTAGTCTATAGTCTAGTCTATAGTCTAGTCTATAGTCTAGTCTATAGTCTAGTCTATAGTCTAGTCTATATTCTAGTCTATAGTCTAGTCTATAGTCTAGTCTATAGTCTAGTCTACAGTCTAGTCTATAGTCTAGTCTATAGTCTAGTCTATAGTCGTAGTCTATATTCTAGTCTATAGTCTAGTCTATAGTCTAGTCTATAGTCTAGTCTACAGTCTAGTCTATAGTCTAGTCTATAGTCTAGTCTACAGTCTAGTCTATAGTCTAGTCTATAGTCTAGTCTACAGTCTAGTCTATAGTCTAGTCTATAGTCTAGTCTACAGTCTAGTCTATAGTCTAGTCTATAGTCTAGTCTATAGTCTAGTCTATAGTCTATTCTATAGTCTAGTCTATAGTCTAGTCTATAGTCTAGTCTATAGTCTATTCTATAGTCTAGTCTATAGTCTAGTCTATAGTCTATTCTATAGTCTAGTCTATAGTCTAGTCTATATTCTAGTCTATAGTCTAGTCTATAGTCTAGTCTATATTCTAGTCTATAGTCTAGTCTATAGTCTAGTCTATATTCTAGTCTATAGTCTAGTCTATAGTCTAGTCTATAGTCTAGTCTACAGTCTAGTCTATAGTCTAGTCTATAATCTAGTTATTTTTTGTTTATTGCAAAATACATATACTCTCTTGTTTATATTTTATTTGGTATGGATAAATAAATTTGCCAATTTTAGCAAGAAATTTTTAAATTGTTTTTTGTAAACTATTAACTGTTATTATAATAAATTAATATATCATTTTCTATGACAATGCAAAAAATTATTCAGAAAGGAACATGGAAATGAAGAGAAAAAAACATGCTAACGGAAATGAAACTAAAAGTAGTTGTTGTCAAACCAATAGCGCAATCAAAACAAATAAAAGTTTAAGCTTCAAAACAAAAACAATAAGATGCGCGTATACTTTCGTATGTGTATATGTAAGGAAAAAAAAGTAACTTGCAAAAATGCGTATTTTAGATTATTATATGGTCGTTTGAGGATTAAATTCTTCACTTTTTAAACAAAAAACTATTAATTTTAATTAAATTTGTACTCTATTAGATTTTAATCATAATTTCCTATAATTCTTTACTGATATAATAACCCTTTTTTAAGATTTTACTTAAATGAAATGCGACCGACACCTTAACGCGACCACGGCTTTTTGAGAACTGAAATGGGATTCAATGAGAAGGAATAACATGAAACGAAATGGAATTAAGACTATAGGGGTAGAGTGGATGAAAAGGGTTCACGAATTTTCTAATTTTAATAACATAACAACTTTTGTCAGTTATTAACTTTATCCTTCCTAAAATCTTTAAATAATTGTTTATTTTATAGCTAATTGCAGATGTTGGAATCTTGTTTTTAAAATTTTAATTATAGAAATGTTTTTTATTTATTTTTAGGGTTTCCTTTTTATACTATTTTCTATTAATTAATAACTCTTATTAAGGATTTTATATTAAAAACAGAAAATCTAAAAAATTTATAACAATGCAAAAAATGAATCAGAGAGGAACAAGGAAATGAGAAATAATATGCTAACGGAAATGAAACTAAAAGTAGTTGTTGTTAAACCAATAGCGCAAGCAAAACAAATAAAAAGTTGAGCTCCAAAACAAAAACAACAAAACTGTTGCTGTTTTTTCTTTTCTTTATGAAGATGCGCGTATACTTTTGTATGTGTATATGTATGTAAGGAACAAAAAAACAAGTGACTTGCAAAAATGCGTATTTGAGATTATTAAATTGGCTATTTTGAGGATTAAATTCTTCACTTTTTAAACAAAAAACTATTAATTTTAATTAAATTTGCACTTTATTATATATTTATTAAAATTTGCTTTAATTCTTTATTGTTTTAATAACACTTTTTTAAGATTTTAATTTAACGACATGCGACTGACACCTTTACGCGACCACGGCTTATTGAGAACTGAAATGGGGATTAAATTAGAAGGAATGACATGAAATGAAATTTTTGCTAGAGGGGTAGAGTAGGAGAAAAGGGTAGACGAATTTTCTTATTTTAACAAAATTTTTTCAGTTATTAACTTTATCCTTCCTAACAAAAATTTAAAAAATTGTTAGTTTTTTAGCTAATTGCAGATGTTGGAATTTTATATTAAAAATTTTAGTTATAGAAATGTTATCTTTAATTTTTAGGGTTTCCTTTCTATACAATTGGTCGTTTTGCCAATGAGGTGTGTACGGGCAAGAATAATCTTCATGGCACTTGTATGGTGAGAGGAGAATGTGCCGATAATGGAGGAGTTTCAGCAGGAGGTTGTTCAACCATTACCAATCAGGCGGTTTGTTGTATATGTAAGGAAACTAAGTAGTTCTTTAGTTTAAAAATAAAATTAATCTAAAAATAATGTCTCTATCTTTACACAGACCAGAAAACCTGCGGCGCTACCACCCAATACAATAACACCTATTTCTACAACTCCGGCTATCCGGGTACCTACAGTGGCGGCGGCCGATGTACCATAGTGGTGCAACCCTGCGATTCAAATATTTGTCAACTTAGAATTGATTTTCTTTCGCTACAATTGGCTCCACCAAATGGTGATGGTTTCTGTTTGACCGATTCTCTACAGATAACGGGCGGTTCGTCGCGTGTACCAGCCATATGTGGTGATAATTCAGGACAACATGTTTATGTAGATTTCAATGGTGAATCACCCATAACCATTTCAGTAGCCACCTCCTCCAGTTATACCTTTAATCGTCAGTGGCAATTACAAATAGCACAATTAGCATGTGCCTCACCCACACTGGCGCCCTCCGGCTGCCTGCAATACTATATGGAGGACAGTGGCACCGTACAGAGTTTCAATTATGGTTCGGCGGCCAGTTCTTTACCCAATTCGATTGGTGTGCCGGGTAGTAGACAAATAGCTAATCATCGTTATGGCATTTGTATACGTATGGGTGCAAATAAATGTTCTATAACCTGGAGCCAAGTAGACTCGGATGCCTATTCCTTTACTCTCACCAATGATGTGGGTGCTGTAGATCCTTCACTCTTGGCCACGGAGGCAGTACAAAGTCAAGAATGTACCACCGACTTTGTTATCATACCAAATCCCACACAAAATGGTAACACCTTACCCAGTGATCGTTTTTGTGGTTTGGGTTTGGTATCCACCACCAGCTCTACCAAACCTTTTGTTTTGTATGTCGTTACAGATGACAATGAGGATTTCGATATATCAAATCGTGGATTTTATCTTTCGTATTCACAAAGTGGCTGTCCGGTTATATGATGAGAATGCTGCAGTGTTTTTTTTTATACAAATCATTATTTTTTTAATGACTGAGGAATTTATAGGTTGAGAGCTTTAAGACGATTTATTAACAACAAATTAAAAATTAAAAAAAAAAAAACAGAGGAAAATAAAATAACAAATGTACTTAATTTAAGTAAAATAAGGACTTTTAGCCTTTAAATAGTTTTTTTTATTTAAGAAATTTAATTTAAGTTTAAACAGTTTTTTTATAATTACAATATAACATAATATTAACGCATATTTTTGTAATAAAAAGAAAAAAACAATAGTTATTTATAATAATTTATATTTAAAAACAAACAATCAACTAGCAATGGATTTAATTTTTTCAATTTCTACCACCAATTGTTGGATCTGTAATGAAAGGAAAAGAAATATAAGATAAAGTATTTAAGATTTTAAAAATTTAATTTAGGAACTCAGGAAACATTTGGGAATTTGTTGTGATTAATTGTGAAACAAGTTCACACGAATTGATGTCTAGTTTTCTATAGCATAGTCTAGTCTATAGTCTAGTCTATAGTTTTATTATAATGTTAAAGAAAACCTAGAAATCCTCTTACCTTTTGGGCATGTTTCTCCTGTACTTCAGCACTGGCTGACTTACGGAAACCCTCATTTTCCATACGCATTTGATAGCGTTTCAATTCAGCTTCCAGTTTCTGTAATTTCTGTTCGTTAAGATTATTAGCTAACTTTGACTTTTCTTCCTTAGGTTTGTACAAATCATTCGTGGAAATACCTTAAAAAACAGAAACAAGTTTATTTAAAAAAAAAATAAAAATAAAAAATAATACAAATGCCAACAAATAAACTCACCAAAACTACACAAATGTCCAGCAGTGGAAAATAATTTCAAATCCTTATTTGTTTTAGAACTATCAGTCAACATTTCCAAGTGTACACCTCTTACCAAAGTTAAAGCTTGTATTTCCTGTATATGGCTTTGCAAGAGCTGTAAAGCTTCTTCATTATGAGCATACAGCTTTAATTGTGGATCATATTTTTTGGATATATTATGACGACTCTTAAGTTGTCTTATATTTTGTGAAATATCCAAAATTTCATTAATTTCTTGCTCTAATTGAGGATTATGGAATCTATTTAGTTCAATTTCGATATTTTGAGGCAAATATTTTAGCAATTCTTCACTTAGGTAGGGAGTAAAAGGACTCATTGCCTGTAGAGACCAGCTTAAAGCAGTGGCTAAAGTGGCACAGTGTATGTAACCCTCTGACTTTTGGGAATTTATGTTAGCTTTACAGGTTTCCTATTTTAAGTAAGTATATTAACTTAATTGAATCTAATTAACAGGAAATATTGATAATTAAACTCACCACATACACATCACATAAATTATTGTACAAAAATTGCTTTAAAGCGTGGGTGGCGGCATGTAAATTATAGTTTTCAAAGCTTTCTTGGCATATTTTTAAGGTTTCCGCTAAACGACTTAAAATCCATAGATCCCATTTCGTTAGGGGCACATGATTCATAGATTCCACTTCATTTAAGGGCATATTTAAACGTTCTGCTGCTCCCAAAGTAAATCTTGTAGCTTGCCATATTTTATTTAGGAACAATTTATTGGTGTAGCATTCATTGACGTCGAAATTGATAAAATGACTTTTGATGTTGTGACTGCAAAGGGTAAAACGTAAGGCATCTGTACCACATTCTTGTATACCCTGAGGAAACATACGCTGCAAACCTTTAAGGGATTTTTGCAACTCTGCAGCACTTAAAATGCCCGCTTTGTGGGAAGTTTTGACATCCTCTTGTAGCGACTAAAATGTATATAAACTTGATCATTTAGATATGAATATTAAGAGCAATAATTTACCTCCAGTGAAGCTCCCTGCACTACTTGTTGAGGAGTCACTACATTACCCAAACTCTTGGACATTTTACGTCCATGAGCATCACATACTATGCCATTTAAAAGTACTTTTTTAAAAGGTGCTGATCCCGTCAGCTTCACACCCAACATTACCATTCTGGCTACCCAAAAGAATAAGATATCATGCCCCGTCTCCATAACATCTAAAGGATAATCTTTCTTATATTCTTCAGAAGGCCAATTGGAGGCGGAAAATGGTAGTAAAGCTGAAGAAAACCAAGTATCCAAAACATCAGAATCCTGTGTCACTGTTATAGAGTTTGATCTTAAAATGTCTGCTGCTTTAGTTAAAGCTTCGTCCGCTGAATGAGCAGCCACCCAAGTGGTTTCATTGGTTGTATTATCTACAGCCTTATAGGCTGGTATCTGATGACCCCACCACAATTGTCGCGACACACACCAATCATGACAATTTTCCAGCCACTTTTGCCAATCAATTTCAAAATTAGGTGGTACAATTTGTAAACGTCCACTTAAAACTTCAGCCAAAGCCTCATCGGCCATGGGTTGACAGTGCAAAAACCATTGTTTTCTCAACATATACTCGATGACATCCTTAGAGCGTGAGCAAATGGGTAATTGCATGTTATGGTCCCTCACACCAGTTAATAGCTGCAATTCTCCTAGCTGTTGCAAAATTTTTTCGCGAGCCTCAAAACGTGGCAATAAAGCAAACTGTTTGTAGTCCTCATTTATGGCACCGGTAGGGGTAAATACCTGTTTCGCTTTAAGTAAATGCCTATTGGCCAAATCGAAATCATTACGATCATGAGCCGGAGTAATTTTAACTGCGCCTGTACCAAACTCTGGTTCAACTGTTACATCGAATACTAGAGGTATAGTTTCTTCACGGAAGGGATGCCACAACAAAACCTCCGGCATATCACGATACTTTTTATATCGCTCATCTGTAGGATTTACAGCAACAGCCACATCGCCCAGTAAAGTTTCAGGTCTGGTGGTGGATACTGTTATAAATTCATTATCACTACCCAAAATTTTATACTTTATATCATAAATGCGGCCAAAAGTAATATTTTTATCATAACCAGGCACCGCAACTTCGGTGGCACCTTTCAAATCCAAAATTTCTACCTCAATATCAGAAATGGCTGATTCTAAGGCACAGGACCAATTGACTAGAGACTCTCTGCGTGTCATAAGACCCTCCTCAAACAAGCGTATAAATGCTTCATTGACCGCATAAGCCTGACGCTAAAAGATTACAATTTCTTTAACCTAAAAATTAAAAATAAAAATCTACTTCCACTTACCTTATCCATGGTAAAATACTCTCTATCCCATGTTAGAGTACAACCCAACTTACGCAAATCTTGAGTTATGCCCTCACCTTTTTCTTCTTTCCATTTCCATACTTCCTTCAAAAACTCCTCACGTCCTATTTGATGTCTAGTGACACCTTTCTCTTTTAGTAATTTCTTTTCCACCACCACTTGGGTGGCAATACCAGCATGATCTGTTCCCGGTATCCAAACAACTTCATAACCCAATTGTCTTTGTTGCCGGCATATGACATCCTGTACTGTGGCCATGAGAGCATGACCCAAGTGTAAATTTCCCGTAACATTGGGTGGTGGCAGCAACATACGAAAGGTACCCGGTTTACATTTACCTTTAGACTCGCTAGGCTGTGAGTAACTCTTCTGCCATTTGTCTTGTTCCACTAATTTTGGTTGATAACCCGGTGCTAAGGAGGCTGTTGCAGAAAAATATAAAACAGTTTATGCCAAATTTATCAATGAAATTGTAAGTGTCATTACCTAAATTTGAAGCCCAACGTTGTCGCTGGAGGTAATTTAATATATTTGCAGGTTTTACATAATTTTTTTGATTTATTTTATTAGAAAATTGCAAAAGTTTATACATTTTTAGCAAAAAATTATGAAAATTTCGCTTTTTTAACAATGATTACATCAGCTGTAGAGTTAAGCCGATCATCTGTTTTTGTTTTGATTCTTCTTCTTTTCGTTTTGTGACAATGAAATGATTTGTTTATGGTAATACAGTGCTATATGGGTAATATGGTATTCTTTCGTTTTTGACCAAATGTACTTATTTAAAAATAAAATAGTATGTACTAATGTATGTCTACTCAGGCATGGCCGACCTTATGATAACCTACACCAAAGATATTTTCTACATGAGGGCTTATATGGGTCTATCCTTAAAAATTTTTGGAAGAGGAATTTACGTCTATATCAAAGAATTTCATCGTGTTATAAGTGTTTATAAGTGAATTTTGATCTTCAAGTCATTTTCTGAAGGGGAGTTTTTATGGAGGCATTTAAACTTCTATAAAACTAAGTTTTGCGATTATTGTTGACATATTAGAACATTTAACATAATTATGAATTCAAAAGTCCTATTCAGGTGGTTGGGTTGTATGGGGACTAGGCGAAAAATGGACCGATTTCAACCATTTTCAATAACGTTGAAGAGTATGTAGGGTGCGCACAAGCTTTAAATGGAAACACAGACGGACATAACTAAATCGATTCAGAAAGCGATTTTGAGCCGATTGTTATAGTTTAAGGTGGATGTAGGATAAATTTGTGGGTGTTACAAACATCAGCACAAACGCATAACACCCTCCCCACTATAGTGGTGTAAGGTATAATAATTAACTCCTTTTTCGACGACCCATACAACTTTTATTTATACCTTCTTTCCTACCTTCTTTTTTGATTACAAGTATTTTTAGAACATAACATATTAATGAAAATATAAAGTCATATATTTTTTTAATAATAACATTTGAAATTTTAATAAAAAATTCAAAAATATATTACTCTTATTTTTTTAATATTTTTGATTAAAAAAGTTCTTTTAGTTAAAATACTTTACAACTGATACCAGCACTGTTATAAAAATTTACTCCCCTTTTTATACAACCATGACAATCAGTTGTTGTTGTTCTTCTGCACTTGGATGTGAAAAATACACAAAAAAATAAGAAGACGTAACAAGAAAATTTGTCCGGGTATAGTTGCAGTGAAAAAATAGTTAAAAATATCAAAAATTATAAATAAATGCATAGAATAACTTAAAAATAACAACAAACTGCTAGAGAATATGCAAAAATAAAAAAGATTTTGCAAAAAACAACAAAAGAAAACTTCTATTTAAAGAAGAAAATTACGACAGCAAAAATAGATAAAAGCTAGCGGAAAAAAGGTAAAGTAGAAATATAAAGTGGGAGTTTTTTAAGCAAATCTTTTAAAAACGAAGTATATTTTAAATTCCCCATAAAATTGGTAATAAAATTTCTTTTAATTTTATAGTTAGAATAATTTTCTAATTAGCATTTTTTGCAAGAAAGAAAAAAAAAACGAAATAAAAAAATGGTGTTACAAAACAAAATGTCAAATTAGCAGCAAAAACAAAGAAAAACAGCGCAGGTGCGTATTGAAGGGTCAAAAGAGAAACCACAAAAAGATTGATTTTTCCCTACACAAAATTCCAATTAGTTGGTTGAAAAATTTTACAGCATTCACATCGTAAACGCGCTAAATTTTTTTACGGAAAACAAAAATAACCCATAATATTTAAAAATCTAATAGAAAAACTTAATTAAATCAAACTAAACTTAATAAAATAAAAAAACTACTGGCTGTTGTTATAAACAGAAAGAACATAGAGCGCGTGTGAAAATAATTTCATAATTAAAATTTGAAAAAATATTTTTCATACATATAAAAATACGTTTTTTTTTTTGTAATAAACCAACGAAAACTAATTTTTTCTACTCAATTGTTAAAATTAAAAAAGCTTTTGTTAAAAAATTAAATAAATTTGTTTGTAATTGGAAAAATTATGTAAAAAACCAAGGGGTTTTCAAACAAAAAAATTTTTCTTCCTCTACTTTTTTTTACAACACCGAGAAAAAAATCTTCATGGAAGAAGTGTAATACAAAAAAAAGAAAACCCAGAGAAATCACCTGAATTTTTTACATCACATAAAGTAACAAAATATAAATACAAACAAGCAAATGCTAGAATAAATAAAAATTAACAAACCCCCCTTTTTGGAAACCGAAAAAAAAACGGAACTTAACCTAAAAACAAACCAAGAGAGTTTTTAAGTGAGTAAAGCAAAAACAACTAAAAACAACCCCACTCTCCTGTTTTAATTTTTTTCTTTTATATTTATTTTTCGTGTTTGTGTTTTCTCGTTTATTTTATTTGTGTGTTAGTTAATGTTTACATTTAGTGAAAAAAAAAAACAAATTTTGTTTTCTGAAGTAAAACTGGAAAAAATTATTAAATTTGAACAGAAACAACAACAATCTTATGAAAATATTCTACAAAACAAATAAAGATAGTAATTGTTTAGGTACTTTTTTATTTTGTTTCTTATCTACCTTTTTGTGTTATTTTCATTTCATGTTTATTTTTTAATAATTATTATCATTTTAATTATAATTAGAATAATTAGACACATCCTTAAATGATTTTTTAATTAAACACATAACTATTTGAGATAAAACTTGAATTTCAAAAGCTTTAACTAAAAATAAAAAAAAAATTTAAAGTCCCCTATTTTGCTATTTGTTAGCATGGTACTAAACTTAATTAAATTTCATAATATTACGAAAATTATAAATTCGAATTGGATTGTTTGCATTATTTTATACCTAATTAAGAAATAGTCTATAATTTTTTATCCATTATAATCGAGTTTTTGAGTGTTTTTATGCAAATTCTCGAATATAGAATAGGTATGACGACTATTTTATTAAGACTTTTAGGAATCAAACACTTTTAATGAGTGTAAACGGCTTTACTAGGTAAAAGCTGTTTGTACGGCTGTCGATTAATTTGGACTGACCGATTATATCTCGTATATTTTTCGATCCTATTGATAAACAGTTTAAATCATATATTTTGACTTCAAATGGAACATTTCTTGTTAATTTATGTTCTAGTTCAGTTCTAGATAAGTTTAAGTTCAGTTCTAGTTCATTTCTAGTTCAGTTCTTGTTCAGTTCTTGTTCAGTTCTTGTTCAGTTCTAGTTCAGTTCTAGTTCAGTTCTAGTTCAGTTCTAGTTCAGTTCTAGTTCAGTTCTAGTTCTAGTTCAGTTCTAGTTCAGTTCTAGTTCAGTTCTAGTTCAGTTCTAGTTCAGTTCTAGTTCAGTTCTAGTTCAGTTCTAGTTCAGTTCTAGTTCAGTTCTAGTTCAGTTCTAGTTCAGTTCTAGTTCAGTTCTAGTTCATTTCTAGTTCAGTTCCTAGTTCAGTTCTAGCTCAGTTCTAGTTCAGTTCTAGTTCAGTTCTAGTTCAGTTCTAGTTCAGTTCTAGTTCAGTTCTAGTTCAGTTCTAGTTCAGTTCTAGTTCAGTTCAGTTCAGTTTAGTTCAGTTCTAGTTCAGTTCTAGTTCAGTTCTAGTTCAGTTCTAGTTCAGTTCTAGTTCATGTTCTAGTTCAGTTCTAGTTCAGTTCTAGTTCAGTTCTAGTTCAGTTTTAGTTCAGTTCTAGTTCAGTTCTAGTTCAGTTCTAGTTCGTCTAGTTCAGTTCTAGTTCAGTTCTAGTTCAGTTCTAGTTCAGTTCTAGTTCAGTTCTAGTTCAGTTCTAGTTCAGTTCTAGTTCAGTTCTAGTTCAGTTCTAGTTCAGTTCTAGTTCAGTTCTAGTTCAGTTCTAGTTCAGTAGTTCTAGTTCAGTTCTAGTTCAGTTCTAGTTCAGTTCTAGTTAGTTCTAGTTCAGTTCTAGTTCAGTTCTATTTAGTTCTAGTTCAGTTCTAGTTCAGTTCTAGTTCAGTTCTAGTTCAGTTCTAGTTCAGTTCTAGTTCAGTTCTAGTTCAGTTCTAGTTCAGTTCTAGTTCAGTTCTAGTTCAGTTCTAGTTCATTCTAGTTCATTCTAGTTCAGTTCTAGTTCAGTTCTAGTTCAGTCTAGTTCAGTTCTAGTTTAGTTCTAGTTCAGTTCTTGTTCAGTTCTATTTCAGTTCTAGTTCAGTTCTAGTTCAGTTCTAGTTCAGTTCTAGTTCAGTTCTAGTTCAGTTCTAGTTCAGTTCTAGTTCAGTTCTAGTTCAGTTCTAGTTCAGTTCTAGTTCAGTTCTAGTTCTGTTCTAGTTCAGTTTTAGTTCAGTTCCAGTTCAGTTCTTGCTCAGTTCTAGTTCAGTTCTTGCTTAGTTCTAATTCCGTTCTAGTACAGTTCTAGTTCAGTTCATGGTCCGGTTCAGTTCTTGCTAGTTATATTCTAGGGCAGTTCTTCACTTCTAGTTCAGATAAAATTCAGTTGTAGTTTTTACTTCAAAATACTGATTTATTGATCGAGAACAATAGTCAATCACTTTTATTAGCACATTCTTTTTAAGAAAAACTTTCGTTTGGTATAAGCTTTCGCGAAGTATGATGCATACTGTTAATATCTCAATCATCATCTTGATATTGTTATAAATTTTGACAGTATAAATGTTCATGAATAAAAAAATCAGCTGTTGAAATGACTCCGTTTTATAGTCGCCTTGCACAGTACATACATTATATGTGCATGATTGTATGTTTAAGAATTATGTATATTGACAGTATTATTTTGGGTTTATATTATTAAAAAATTTGACAATTAATAGATTAGCCTGATAAGAACGTCAGATATTATATTGAAAAATAATTTAAAAATAAATTTTTCAAACCTGTGCCTGAACATGTACAAGATAAATAAATAAATATGTATTTTATATTGATAGTCTAAAAAATAAATTTTTATTATTTCTTTGTTGTTATTCTATATCAGTTAAAAATCGTCTAAAATACTAAGCAAATATAAATTTTATTTATTTGTCTGCAATTTTTGTCGCTTTATTGTAGTAGTTAATCAGATTTTTACTTTTCTTATTGTTTATTTTTTAACTTAATGTGAGTTTATTTAATCATCCCCTTCTTTTCATATACATATTTGCTTATTTTAAGTAAATAATTTACTTACATACAAATGTATATAAAGACAAATATACCCCAGTCTGTATAAATAAAAAGTGTTTTTAAGTAATTTATTTTACACGGCACTTTGACATTCAATCATTAATTTTAGTATTTTTATTTGTAGTACAAAATTGTAAAAAATTTCTTTCTAAATTATTTGTCCTTAGAATATGACATGATATAAATGTTTTTACTTCGCTACTATTAGCATACGAACTTTATTCGAATTAATAATTACTTGATTACGTTGTAATGTTGTCATTAGAAACAAATTTTCTTTAAACAATAGAAAAACTTTGAACATTGATCAATTATTTTATATTTTATTTTTGAGGAATTTAATTTTAAAGACGTCATTAGTTTTTTAAACTATTGAGGACATAATTAAACACCTTTAAAAAAAGTTTTCAAAATAATAAGAAATTATTACATAGTAATTAATTAGTAAATTTATTGTAATGTTAAATTTCCTTTGTTTTTTTATTATTATTAGTATTTATAAACTAATTATTAATAAACTTTGGCCAGAAAGATAATGATTTTTTAATAATGACAAATTTTGTTTTAAAGTACGTAACAAACAGTAATGTATAATTAATAAATAGACTTTTAAAGGTGAGAGTTTAATTATAAAATAAAATAAAGAATGATTATTAAATTAATGTAAATTTCATAGTTTTGGTAGTTCCTACCCAAAGAAAGTACATAACTTCAAAATATATGTTACTTACGACAAAATTTAAAAAAAGTCGAAACACTGAGACCAAGCTAGTCTTTGGTAATAGGACATTTTTTCTATTACATCTGATTCATGAGATATCGCTTACTGAAGTTTAAAAAAAATGCAATTTTCGGCCTTTTTTGAGATGTTATAACAGCGCCAAGACAATCTAATTTTTACAATGTTGAATAACATCTGAAAGTCCATTCTGACAACTTTAAAATAGTATTTGAAAAAGCCTTTGAAAAATAATGGTTTTCGTTATATTTATGGTATACCCTACAATACTATAGTGCAGATGTTGTTATGCTGTGTAAATATTGTTTATAAAATATTGGATCCATACCTAACTTCAGGACAAGATATCTGGAATCTCTCAGGTAATGAAGAAAATGTGAGGTCAGATTCGGATTTAGCTCGATCATTCACAAAAGTATATTTTTGTCGACCTGTGTTATTATTTGACACTAAACTTTCGAATTTCAAAACTCGATTTTTCTTAAAAGTGTGTTCAGTTCTAGTTCAGTTCTAGTTCAGTTCT